TCCTCAATACAGAGATTTCCTCTTCTGAAGTCAGGTGATCATATGACCATCACAGTGCCTCCATGTGACTCCCTAAACCCTGAGAGACACAACATGCAGAAGATTCTAGAAGTCACCAAGAAGATGATGGAGCTGCTGACAGGAGAGGTGAGCGGTGCCGGGAATTCTGGGACATTCTCCAGTAACAGACAAGGGATGTGTCTGGATGGTGACTGTATCATTGTGTGTGTCAGGTTCCTATAAGGTGTCAGGGTGTCACTGTCTATTTCTCCATGGAGGAGTGGGAGTATTTAGAAGGACACAAGGACTCTACAAGGACGTCATGATGGACAATCAGCAGACTTTCAGGAAGATTGTAAGGAAGGAATTTCCCCGGAATGAGACGATATTGAAGCTCACCCTGGAGATCCTCAGCCTGCTGACTGGAGAGGTGAGTGTAATGAAGGGGTTAAATAAAGATCTATTCTGCTGTGATCACTCTATTCATATTGTGCAGAAACATATAAAGTTGTGCACGTGCATATAATACAGTAAGTAAAAGTATATATAAAGTCTTTCAAAATAAATGTGCAGGTGGATTCTTTGTTCCCTCTCGCCGAGTGCTTAGTGGTCTCCCTATGTGCTCACCTCTATATTTGCCTGAATGAATCCAGGCAAATACGCTTTTTATCCTTCCAGGATAGATGAGATAGGATGATGCTCTTGTTCTAGTTGTCTCAGAAGGTGGATGTGGATTTAAATGGGTTCTCCTGTTCTCTCCTTTATCCCCTTGTGTAGCTGCTCATGAATGGATATACTGACCAGCTCTCTGAGGATCTCCTATTTCCCCTCCTGGGGTTGTTTCCTTCTCCAATCCTCCTTATACCAGCTCAAGGGGTGTTGGTCAATTGAAAAAAGGAAGAAAACAGACCATGGTGCCTTATCTTTGTGCATAAAAGGAGATTTATTGCTGCCAGTTAAGGTGTTGCACAATAGTATACAGCTCTGTTGTGATCCAGGTCAGCATAGATGACAATCTACAGGTATACTCTGCCTCTGCAGTGCTGTCTGCCCTGATGAAGTCACGTGACCCTGTGACGCAACGCGTAGGGGAGGGGCTCTGACGTCACGACGTTGCACTGGAGAGGCTCGGTGATCCGAGTACAGACGCAGGCAGACAGCACGGCAGAGGCAGAGTATACCTGTAGATTGTCATCTATGCTGACCTGGATCACAACATAGCTGTATACTATTGTGCAACACCTTAACTGGCAGCAATAAATCTCCTTTTATGCACAAAGATAAGGCACCATGGTCTGTTTTCTTCCTTTTTTCAATTGACCAACACCCCTTGAGCTGGTATAAGGAGGATTGGAGAAGGAAACAACCCCAGGAGAGGAAATAGGAGATCCTCAGAGAGCTGGTCAGTATATCCATTCATGAGCAGCTACACAAGGGGATAAAGGAGAGAACAGGAGAACCCATTTAAATCCACATCCACCTTCTGAGACAACTAGAACAAGAGCATCATCCTATCTCATCTATCTTGGAAGGATAAAAAGCGTATTTGCCTGGATTCATTCAGGCAAATATAGAGGTGAGCACATAGGAAGACCACTAAGCACTCGGCGAGAGGGAACAAAGAATCCACCTGCACATTTATTTTGAAAGACTTTATATATACTTTTACTTACTGTATTATATGCACGTGCACAACTTTATATGTTTCTGCACAATATGAATAGAGTGATCACAGCAGAATAGAGGTGCATTATTTTAGACATTTTTTTGATCTGTATACCATTGTACCTCTTAAGGCACCATCACCTTAGGATTGCTAGTCATTAATGTCACCTGCATGAAGATCATAATTTATATTTACTGTTTGAGTCACTAGGTATAGTAATTCATGATTGCTATATATTTTGATTTATGCATTGTCTTGGATAATTATCTATAGCATTTTAGAAGTATAAGTTACATACACTAATATATAGGAGCGCGGCACTATCTATCTATAAATATTATATACAGTCATGGCCGAAATTGTTGGCACCCTTGATATTTCTCCAGGAAATCATGTATTTCTCACGAAACGTATTGCATTAACACATGTTTTGCTATACACATGTTTATTCCCTTTGTGTGTATTGGGACAAAACAAAAAAAGGGAGGAAAGAAAGCAAATTCGACATAATGTCACACAAACCTCCAAAAATGGGCTGGACAAAAGTATTGGCACCCTTTCACAACTGCGGATAAATAAGAATGTTACAAGCATGTGATGCTCCTGTAAACTCACCTGGGGCAAGTAACAGGTGTGGGCAATATAGAAATCACACCTGAAAGCAGATAAAAAGGAGAGACGTTCACTTAACCTTTGCATTGTGTGTCTGTCTGTGCCACACTAAGCATGGACAACAGAAAGAGGAGACGAGAACTGTCTGAGGACCTGAGAACCAAAATTGTGGCAAAATATCAACAATCTCAAGGTTACAAGTCCATCTCCAGAGAACTAGATTTGCCTTTGTCCACAGTGCGCAACATTATCAAGAAGTTTGCAACCCATGGCACTGTAGCTAATCTCCCTGGTCGTGGACGGATGAGGAAAATTGATGAAAGATTGCAACGCAGAATAGTCCGGATGGTGGATAAGCAGCCCCAAACATGTTCCAAAGACATTCAAGCTGTCCTGCAGGCTCAGGGAGCATCAGTGTCAGCGCGAACTATCCGTCGACATTTAAATGAAATGAAACGCTATGGCAGGAGACCCAGGAGGACCCCACTGCTGACACAGAGACATAAAAAAGCAAGACTACAGTTTGCCAAAATGTACTTGAGTAAGCCAAAAGCCTTCTGGGAAAACGTCTTGTGGACAGATGAGACCAAGATAGAGCTTTTCGGTAAAGCACATCATTCTACTGTTTACCGAAAACGGAATGAGGCCTACAAAGAACAAAACACAGTACCTACGGTAAAATAATGGTGGAGGTTCAATGATGTTTTGGGGTTGTTTTGCTGCCTCTGGCACTGGGTGCCTTGACTGTGTGCAAGGCATCATGAAATCTGAGGATTACCAAAGGATTTTGGGTCGCACTGTAGGGCCCAGTGTCAGAAAGCTGGGTTTGCGTCCAAGATCCTGGGTCTTCCAGCAGGACAATGACCCCAAACATACGTCAAAAAGCACTCAGAAATGGATGGCAAAGAAGCGCTGGAGAGTTCTGAAGTGGCCAGCAATGAGCCCAGATCTAAATCCCATTGAACACCTGTGGAGAGATCTTAAAATTGCTGTTGGGAAAAGGTGTCCTTCCAATAAGAGAGACCTGGAGCTGTTTGCAAAGGAAGAGTGGTCCAAAATTCCGGGTGAGAGGTGTCAGAAGCTTATTGATGGTTATAGGAAGCGACTGATTTCAGTTATGTTTTCCAAAGGGTGTGCAACCAAATATTAAGTTAAGGGTGCCAATACTTTTGTCCAGCCCATTTTTGGGGTTTTGTGTGACATTATGTCATATTTGCTTTTCTGCCTCTGTTTTATATTTGTTCCAATACATACAAAGGGAATAAACATGTGTATAGCAAAACATGTGTTAATGCAATACCTTTTTTGTGTGAAATACTTGATTTTCAGGAAAAATATCAAGGGTGCCAACAATTTCGGCCATGACTGTATACACTAGTAAGTGAGTCAGTGCAAGTGCCAGCGCACTTCACGCATGAAATAAGAAGATTATACTTAAAGTTACTTATTGAACACCTCACTTCATAATAGCTCACAAGTATTCACCTTTTATAAATAGTGCTGCGCTACTCACTAAAGCTAACCATAAAGTAAACACCTGACAGAGCCCCTAACTGAGGTGATAGAAGTGCATACCTAGAGAATCACCAAACACAGGGGAAGGAAAAGATCCAAAAACAATGGATGTCCTGCTAGGCAACACCAAATGTGAACAAACCAATGAGTGCAACTTCAACAAATGTGCAAATAGTCTGAGTAATATATATCAAGGCATAAATAATAATATATATAAACAAAGCACACAAAATATAAAGATAATAATATTCCATTAAACACCCGGCTGAGCCCTCAACACAGTGACAGTTTGTGAATAAATGTCCGTAAATGCAGGAAAAATCAAGATCTGTAATGCAGAAAAATCTTCAAATCAGCAGATATTCCACATGTGACTTGGAAGAATCCTCCACCAGCGAGCGTGCACGCTCCCCTCCCATTTTCATCTCAGGGAAAATACGTCTAATGCGCTTTAATATCAACCCAAAATCCAACCAGCTCTCCTCTGTAAGTACTTTACTGGCTCCTTCTCCAATTCCTCATCAGAAATCCATGTTCAAAAAAACATCAGAGGACATCTCATAGTGTGATACGTCCATGTTTAACCACTTGCCTACCGGGCACTTATACCCCCTTATTTACCAGGCCAATTTTCAGCTTTCAGTGCTGCCGCACTTTGATTGACAATTGCGCGGTCATGCAACGTTGTACCCATATGAAATTTTGATCATTTTTTTCTCACAAATGGAGCTTTCTTTTGGTGGTATTTAATCGCCACTGGGCGCTTTACTTTTTGCGCTATAAATAAAAAATTGCCAAAAATTAAAAAAAAAAAAAAAAAGTTTCTTTGTTTCTATTATAAAATTTTTCAAACAGGTATTTTTTCTCCTTCACTGATGTGCGTTGATGAGGCAGCACTGATGGGCACTGATAGGCGGCACTGATAGGCATCACTAAAGGGCACTGATAGGCAGTACTAATGAGGTGGCACGGATAGGCGGCACTGATAGACAGCACTAATGAGGTGGCACGGATAGGCGGCACTAATATGCAGCACTGATAGGCGGCACTGATAGGTGACACTGATGATGGGTACTGATAGACGGCACTGACTGGCATCACTGCTGGGCACTGACTGGCGGCACTGACTGGCACAACCCCTGGGCACTGACTGGTGGCACTGACTGGCAGCACTGCTGGGCTGCACTGGTGGGTGGCACTGGTGGGTGGGCACAGGTGGGTGGCACAGGTGGGTGGGCACAGGTGGGTGGCACTTCTGGGCACAGGTAGGTGGCACTTCTGGGCACAGGTGTGTGACACTGCAGAGTGGCACAGGTGGGTGCACTGCTGGGCACAGGTGGGTGCACTGCTGGGCACAGGTGGGTGATCTGCTGGGCACAGGTGGGCGGAGCTAGTGGGTGCACTGCTGGGCACAGGTGGGCGGAACTTGCGCGTGGCATTGCTGGGCACCGATCATCAGGGCACTGATCATCAGTGCCCTGATGATCGGTGCCGATCCCCGCTCTGACAACTGCCGGTTCTCGGCAGTATTTTCCTCACGATCTGACAGCGTGAGGAAAGTGCAGCCGAGAACCGGCACTTGCATTTCCCTGTGATCAGCGTGTCATTGGACACCGCTGATCACGTGGTAAAAGGCCGGTATGATTGGCCTTTTACCACATCACGTGATCAGCTGTGTCCTTAGGACACAGCGATCACGGAGATCGCCGGGTGCGCGCCCCCTGGGGCACGCAGGAGAGCGCGTTCTGGGAGGACGTCATATGACGTCCACTCAGAACTGGCCAGCCGCAGTTTAGCCGTCATTTGGCTATCTGCGGTCGGCAACTAGTTAATGTATAAAAACCGGGTATAGAATATTCAAAATCAGGCCAGCAGACCCATACAAGCATTGGTAATACCATACACAGGGACAGGTGTACCAAGATGGCGGCCGCCGTCTGACCAGAAATGGCGTCACTACACTTCCTTCACGTTACATCGCGAATCATGTGACTTCCTCAGGGACATGGATTTCTGATGGAGAATGGGAGAAGGAGCCAATAAGCCAACTGACTAATACCTTTGACTCCTTCAAAATGCTAGTCGAGAATTTAGAGTTACCCCAGGTCACGCCCTGTCCCCCCCAGCAGGTGCTTCCTTCAACTAGTCGAGAAATGGAAGTCCATAAGGCTGCGGAGGGCGAGCCATCCCTGGGATCCCAGTCCGAAGAGAATTCAGAAGGGGAGGGCCCCTCAGACGATCCCAGAGGCCCCTTTAGATACAAATTGTCCCTGGAGGAGGTAGACGATTTGTTGGGGGCTATTTATGCCACGCTGGATATTAAAGAGGATAAAAAACCCTTTCACTGCATGACCAGATGTATCAGGGCATGGAAGAACAAAAGTGGAGGGTTTTTCCCATCCACGAGGTATTAGTGGATATAATAAAAAAGGAGTTGCAGGATCCTGAAAGAAAGCTCTTTTTCGCTAAATCCCTCAAATGCAGATTTCCGTTCGATGAAGATCTGTCTGCTTTGTGGAATAAAAATCCCATGCTGGAAGCAGCATTTTCCCAAATAGCTAGAAGGATGGACTTAGCTTTTGAGGATATTATTATACAGTATTTATATAGCGCCAAAGGGTATGCTCAGCGCTGTACAGTAGCAAGGGGGACAGAACATGAGACAAGACAGTAACAATGCAATACACGAGGGGTTCGAGGGTCCTGCTCTTTCCAGCTTACAATCTAGGAGGGAGGGGAAGGTGGTACAGGAGGAGATGGCTGTGGGGGATGGAGTGGTGGGAGGAGTGGAGGAGGTTGGTAGTTAGGTGAAGTCAGGTGTTAGGTGAGGTTGGAGTAGGTTCCTCTGAAGAGGAGGGTTTTCAGGGTGCGCCTGAAGGTGAGGAGGGTAGGTGACAGTCTGATGGATTGGGGTAGGGAGTTCCAGAGGATGGGGGAAGTCCTGGAGAACTCCTGCAATCGGGCGTGGGAGGAGGAGACCAGGGAGCTAGAGAGTAGGAGGTCCTGTGAGGAGCGGAGGGCACTGGTAGGGTAGTATTTGGGTATCAAGTCAGTTATGTAGTTCGGGGCGGCATTGTGAATGGCTTTGTAGGTCAGGGTTAGCAGCTTGAATTTGATGAGTTGGGCAATCGGGAGCCAATGAAGGGATTGGCAGAGGGGGGAGGCAGATGTGGAGCGGTTGGTGAGGTGGATGAGTCCAGCTGCTGAGTTCAGGATTGACTGGAGTGGGAATAGCGTTCATTTAGGTAGGCCGGTGAGGAGGGAGTTGCAGTAGTCCAGGCGTGAGATGATGAGGGAGTGTACGAGTTGTTTGGTGGTGTCTGGGGTGAGGAATGTGCGTATCTTGGAGATGTTGCGGAGGTGGAGCCTGCAAGATCTAGATAGCAGTTGGATGTGGGGTAGGAAGGAGAGGTGGGAGTCCAGGGTGACACCCAGGACTTTGGCGTGTGGGGTGGGAGAGATGGTGGCGTTGTTAGTAGTGATGGAGAGGATGGGGGGGCACCGGGTGGGGGGAAGACCAGGAGCTCGGTTTTGGATAGGTTAAGTTTGAGGAAGTGGAGCGACATCCAGTCTGATATGTCGTTTAGGAGGTGGGCGATGCGGGCAGAGAGTGAGGGGGTGAGGTGGGGGGTGGAGAGGTAAATTTGGGTGTCGTCAGCATAGAGGTGGTAATTGAAGCTGTGGGAGTGAATAAGTTTGCCAAGGGAGGAGGTATAGATGGAGAAGAGGAGGGGCCCGAGGACAGAGCCTTGGGGGACCCCGACAGAGAGGGGGAGGTGGCAGTGTTTGTAGGTGATGCTGAAGGAGCGTTGGGAAAGGTAGGAGGCGAACCAGGAGAGAGCACCGTCCTTGATGCCAAGGGAGTGCAGTTTGGCAAAGAGGAGAGGGTGGTCAACAGTGTCGAAGGCCCCGGAGAGGTCGAGCAGCAGGAGGATAGAATAGTGGCCATTGGCTTTGTCGGTTATCAGGTCGTTGGTGATTTTAAGTAGGGCGGTTTCGGTGGAGTGCAGGGGACGGAAGCCAGACTGTAGGGGGTCAAGGAGGTTGTTATCAGTGAGGTGGGCGCTTAGGCGATTGTAGACCAGGCGCTCAAGGAGCTTGGAAGTGAAAGGCAACAAGGAGATGGGTCTAAGGTTGTTAGGTTAGTGGGGTCAAGGGAGGGTTTTTTTGAGTGTGGGGGTGATGTGTGCATGCTTTAGAGGGGAGGGGAAGGTGCCAGTGGAGAGGGAGAGATTGCAGATGTGGGTGAGGGAGCGAATGATGGAGGGGGGGTGACTGGAGGAGCTGGGAGGGGATAGGGTCCAGGGGGCAGGTGGTGAGGCGGGCTTCAGTGAAGACCTTAGAGATCTCCTTGGGGGTAGTTGGGCTGAAGGAGCGGAGTGTTGAGGAGGTGATGGTGTGCGGGGCATTAGGTATAGTGGGGGGTAGTGCGGCTATGAGGTCAGGGGAGGGGGACGGTTGAGGGGTTGAAGGAGGGCGGGAGGCTGGGTGGAGAGAGAGGTGGATTGCGAGTTGACAATGTCCTTACGGATTGCGTCAATCTTGTTTTGGAAGTGATTGGCAATCTCGTGGGCGGTGAGTGAAGTGCTGGGTGGGGGTGGGGGGGAGAGAGTAGGGATTTGAAAAGGAAGAAGAGCCGACGAGGACAGGTGGAGAGGGTGTTGATAAGGGTTATGAAATAGGCTTGCTTGGCGGCGTGGAGGGAGGTGGTGTAGGCGAGGTAGGCGGCTTTATAGAGGGAGAACGCGTGGGGGGATCTGGTTTTGCGCCATAAGCGCTCCAGCGCATGACTGCGTCGTTTGAGGCATTTCGTGTGGTCGTTTTGCCAGGGTTGAAGTGGTCGGGGTCTAATGCTATGTGTGGTTAGGGGTGCCAGGGAGTCAAGGGCAGCTAACAGTGAGTCGTTGTATGCAGTAGTGGCAAGGTCAGGGCATGACAGAGGGAGGATGCTGTCATACAGACGATCAGCTGCTGGGTGGAGATGGGTCGGGTTCAGATTGCGGAGGTTGCGGGTGATGGTTAGACGCTTCGGGGGGAGATGGAGAATGTGAGGAGGTGGTGGTCAGAGAGGGGGAAGGGGGTGTTAGTGAAGTTGTGGGGGGTGCAGAGGTGGGAGAAAATGAGGTCCAGGGTGTTTCCAATGGAGTGGATGGAGGACTGAGTGTGCTGTGTGAGCGCGAAGGAGGAGGTTAGAAGGAGGAGTTGGGAAGTAGCCGAGCTGTTGGCGTTGATCGGGATATTGAAGTCGCCTAGGATGATGGTCGGTAGCTCGGAGGAAAGGAAGAAGGGAAGCCAGGCGGCAAAGTCGTCTAGGAAGGGGGATGCGGAACCAGGAGGCCGATAGATTACTGCAATCCTCAGGGAGGTGGGAGAGAAGAGCCCTATGCAGTGGGCCTCGAAGGAGGAGAAGGATAGGGGGGGGGGGTTAGGGAGGACCTGGAAGGTGCTCAGCGGTGGTAGGAGCATACTGACCCCTCTGCCTCTGTGTCCGCTCGGTCTGGGTGAATGGGTCCAGACGAGTCCTCCATAGGAGAGGGCAGCAGGGGAAGTGGAATCAGTGGCTTGGATCCAGGTTTCGGTGACCGCTAGGAGGTTGAGGGAGTGGGAGACAAAGAGGACGTGGATGGCGGTGAGCTTGTTGCAAACCGAACGGGCGTTCAGGAGTGCAACTGAGAGGGGAGGGGTGGATGTGGGGAGGATGGGGACAGATATGAGATTGAGGGGGTTGCGGTGGTTGGCGTGAGTAGGGGGGTGCTGGGAGGGGCAGTGGGGAGATGGATGGCCAGGGTTTGGGGAGATGTCACCGGCGGTTAGGAGAAGGAGGGTGAGGAAGGTGGCATGGGAACGGGAGGTGCAGGAGCGCGTGGGTCTGTTGGTGGTGGCATGTGGGTCGGCGGGGGAGTGGAGTATTAGGAGGAGGTGGTGAGAGCCATAGAGGGGGGAAGGAAGAAGTGAAGGAGCAATGTAGAGCTGTTTTGGGGGAGTGGGGGTTAGAGGGAGGCAAGTTTGGGGGATGGAGAAGAGGAGAACGAGGAGGAGGAGTGCAGGTGGCATGCTAGGGTGGGCAGAATGCTGATCGGGTCAGAGAGGAGGGAGGTTTCAGTCAGGACGTGAGGATGGGGAGGGTCTGTTATGCCATGTCAGAGTTCATCAGTGTCCAATCATAGGAGGGGAGAGGGAGTGGTGGGCGGCTGGGGCCGCAGCTGGCTGGGGCCGCAGCTGGCTGGTTGCAGTCTGTGGGTGCTGTAGGCCGGCGTCCGCGGGTGTTGTGGCACGGCGTCGGTGGGCACAGTGGTGCGGCAGCTGGACAAGCCGTGGGACGCGGTGATTGGAGGTGTTGTAGGCCCGGCGTCAGGGGTGCTGGAGGCCTGGCGTCGGGAGGTGATGAGGGCTCGGCGACGGGAGGTGTTGAGGGCCTGGTGTCGGGAGTAGCTGAGGACCCGGCGTCAGGAGGCGCAGAGGACCCGGTGGCAGGAGGCACAGGGGGCCCGGTGTCGGGGTGCTGAGGGCCCGGTGTCAGGGGGTGCTGAGGGCCTGGCGTCAGGAGGAGGTGTAGGACAACATCAGGAGGAGGTGTAGGCCCGC